CGATAGTGCAATCGAATCGTCTTTCTCAAAGGCGTAGAGCACTTCTGCAAATTTCTACAGCAATAGGAGTTTTGCAAAAATTTCGGAAGTGCACGTGTATCAAAAAACGTGCAAAAAAAAGTTTTGTTTAATAGGCTGATAAGCCTTACGATTGGAAATTAGTAGCTCAGTATAAAAGACGATCATCGAGAACGCTTGAACAACTTTTTTTTTGATTAAATGGTGGTCATACTGGTTTGAAAAGTTCTTTAATATTTATGACCGTGGACTCTAATTAGCTCAATACTGGTGCAGTTATCGCCAGGAGTTTTTTTCATTTTTCCGATAAAGAGCTGCGCGTCTTATTTTACTGATAAGCGGAAAAGTGATCTGCTGTCCGGTTGCAGGACTTAGGCATGGCAGAGCATTGATACATAATACAAATGAATTTCTTGGAGTCTCAGTTTCGTTCGACCGGACGTCCATCTCCACCCTCAGCTGCCAGTGCAGGATGTTACAGCAGCAGCTCTTTCTTACATTTTTCCAGTCACCGCAGTCTCCCTCTCTAATGCTCTGGCATTTGGGTTTCGATCTGATATTCCCGAAGTAGAAGAGCAATCCGCGTCTCGAACTCTTTTATTTGCGAGAGTTCTGTATCCACTTCGCTCGGCTTTTTTTGCACATTTAAATTTTTCAAGGGCACGGTAGGCAGGTCGATAAGGAGACATTTTAAAACACTCTACTTTTACTACTCAGTAACAAAATCCATTAATAACATATTACTGGGAATTATGGTATGTTAAGATATTTCAAATTCCTAACAGCGAGACATGCTGTCTAAAATGGGGATTTCCTACAAAAAATCGCATCCTTATCCCTTCTTCCGTTTGTCTTCCGGCATGTGCTCTTGCCAGATGTATAATAGAATTAATTTTCTAACCTCTGCCCTCATTTAAGTGCTGCATTTGTCGATGAGCGGAAAGCATTTCCAGGAAGGATGTAAAGTGTTAGCTTGGTTCATTGCTCTTCAAGTTATTGCAATATGCGTTGCGGTCGTCTTCGTGATTGTCTTCGCTGCCGGTGTAGTCTTCTGCTTCCTTTATGCATGTCTCGCCGGTGATATGTTGTAAGCTTTACTAACACCTAATTTCTTTTATTTTGAGTATTCTGAGAACCTTAATTACCAAATGTAACACTCCTGTTTTATTTCCAAAAACTGTTCATGAAAATTTTTATTTGTTTCGTTTCAGTCTTCCAGGGTTTCTTAAAAGCGTGGGAGGAAAAGAAGAGTGCTTGCCCAGGATTACTGTTAGAAAAAAGTAATTCTCACGGAATAAAAATTCATAGCACGATACAGAGAAAAAGGAGATGCCCTGTGCTCCTACCCACGCAAGTGCTCGGATGTTCCCGTGGTTTGCAAAAATTCGTCACATTTCCTGTTGATACAAAGTTATTTATTAACAGACAACGAGTGATATGCCCGAATGCATATGCTGAACGGAAACGAATGCAAAAAGACCAAGAGAAGCGACATCGTCATCAGCAACGGATCTCGCGGCGCCCATCTCCTCGACCAGCTTCAGTTTCCGAATTCGAGTCAGCATCGACGCCTAGTCAAAGAACAAGTACTGGATCTCCGAAATCGCCATGTCAGATGAGACAAAATAAACCATCAGAAGCAGTCAACACACAAGATCCTGTTGAAGTGTAAATTCGAACAAAAGCTGCGGTGTATGTTATGAAGCGGGAAGTAGCCGCCGGAATGTGCGGCGAAAAAGCACTAGAAATGAACAACGCAACTGCGGGACTATTTTAACACTTTAATATTTCGCACCAGAAGATCTTCGTGAAAACCCAGAAAGCAGTGTGAACCGAAGCATTTTTT